GAGAGAATATGCAAAGAATGCAAGAGAATCAAAAAACATCCGAGATCCGAGAGAATTCGAGAATAATTAAAAAAAAGTCCAACAGAATCTGAAAAAATACGCAAAGAATGCCAGAGAATCGGAAAATATCCGAGATCCGAGAGAATTTAAAAGAATACGAAAAGAGCCCGAAAAAATATGAGAGAATGAGGGAGAATCTCGAAAGGTCTGAAATGATCCAAAAAGATCCGACAGAACTCAAAAGAATCACAGGAAAATCTATAGGATCTGAAAGAATCCGGAAGGGTCCATAAAAATCCAAGGGAGAAACCGGAAAAACCCGGGAAAATCAAGCAGAATCCCAAAGCATCAGAGAAAATCAGAGAGACACCAAGGAACTTAGGAAACCCAAGGTTCAAAAGAAACACAAAGAATTGTAAGAATACGAAAAACGAAAAAATCCTCAAAAACGAAAAAACTTCGAAAGATAGTTCGAAGAAATCCGAAGGAACTTGAAAACTAAATTATCTTATTTCAGCATCCTGGAGAATCCCAGAAAAACCGAAAAAATCCGCGAGATTCCGAGTGAATCTGACAGAATCCAGAAGAATACGAAAGACTCCGAAAAGAATCGAATGTATAGAAGAGAATATGAGAACATCGGAGAAAATCAGGAAGAATCCGAAAGACTCCGAATGAGTTCAAGAAATCCGAAAATACTTCGAGAGAATGCAACAGAATCTGAGAGAATATGCAAAGAATGCAAGAGAATCAGAAAATATCCGAGATCCGAGAGAATTCGAGAATAATTAAAAAAAGTCCAACAGAATCTGGAAAAATACGCAAAGAATGCCAGAGAATCGGAAAATATCCGAGATCCGAGAGAATTTAAAAGAATACGAAAAGAGCCCGAAAAAATATGAGAGAATGAGGGAGAATCTCGAAAGGTCTGAAATGATCCAAAAAGATCCGACAGAACTCAAAAGAATCACAGGAAAATCTATAGGATCTGAAAGAATCCGGAAGGGTCCATAAAAATCCAAGGGAGAAACCGGAAAAATCCGGGAAAATCAAGCAGAATCCCAAAGCATCAGAGAAAATCAGAGAGACACCAAGGAACTTAGGAAACCCAAGGTTCAAAAGAAACACAAAGAATTGTAAGAATACGAAAAACGAAAAAATCCTCAAAAACGAAAAAACTTCGAAAGATAGTTCGAAGAAATCCGAAGGAACTTGAAAACTAAATTATCTTATTTTAGCATCCTGGAGAATCCCAGAAAAACCGAAAAAATCCGCGAGATTCCGAGTGAATCTGACAGAGTCCAGAAGAATACGAAAGACTCCGAAAAGAATCGAATGTATAGAAGAGAATATGAGAACATCTGAGAAAATCAGGAAGAATCCGAAAGACTCCGAATGAGTTCAAGAAATTCGAAAATACTTCGAGAGAATGCAATAGAATCTGAGAGAATATGCAAAGAATGCAAGAGAATCAGAAAATATCCAAGATCCGAGAGAATTCGAGAATAATTAAAAAAAAGTCCAACGGAATCTGAAAGAATACGCAAAGAATGCCAGAGAATCGGAAAATATCCGAGATCCGAGAGAATTTAAAAGAATACGAAAAGAGCCCGAAAAAATATGAGAGAATGAGGGAGAATCTCGAAAGGTCTGAAATGATCCGAAAAGATCCGACAGAATTCAAAAGAATCACAGGAAAATCTATAGAATCTGAAAGAATCCGGAAGGGTCCATAAAAATCCAAGAGAGAAACCGGAAAAATCCGGGAAAATCAAGCAGAATCCCAAAGCATCAGAGAAAATCAGAGAGACACCGAGGAACTTAGGAAACCCAAGGAACAAAGGAAACACAAAGAATTGTGAGAATACGAAAAACGAAAATATCCTCAAAAACGAAAAAACTTCGAAAGATAGTTCGAAGAAATCCGAAGGAACTTGAAAACTAAATTATCTTATTTCAGCATCCTGGAGAATCATGGAAAAACCGAAAAAATCCGCGAGATTCCGAGTGAATCTGACAGAATCCGGAAGAATACGAAAGACTCCGAAAAGAATCGAATGTATAGAAGAGAAGATGAGAACATCGGAGAGAATCAGGAAGAATCCGAAAGAATCCGAATGAATTCAAGAAATCCGAAAATAATTCGAGAGAATGCAATAGAATCTGAGAGAATATGCAAAGAATGCAAGAGAAAAAGAAAATATCCGAAATCCGAGAGAATTCGAGGATAATTAAAAAAAAGTCCAACGGAATCTGACAAAATACGCAAAGAATGCTAGAGAATCGGATCCGAGAGAATTTAAAAGAATACGAAAAGAGCCCGAATAAATATGAGAGAATGAGGGAGAATCTCGAAAGGTCTGAAATGATCCGAAAAGATCCGACAGAACTCAAAAGAATCACAGGAAAATCTATAGGATCTGTAAGAATCCGGAAGGGTCCATAAAAATCCAAGAGAAAAACCGGAAAAATCCGGGAAAATCCAGCAGAATCCCAAAGCATCAGAGAAAATCAGAGAGACACCGAGGAACTTAGGGAACCCAAGGAACAAAAGAAACACAAAGAATTGTAAGAATACGAAAAACGGAAAAATCCTCAAAAACGAAAAAACTTCGAAAGATAGTTCGAAGAAATCCGAAGGAACTTGAAAACTAAATTATCTTATTTCAGCATCCAGGAGAATCCCAGAAAAACCGAAAAAATCCGCGAGATTCCTAGTGAATCTGACAGAATCCGGAAGAAAACGAAAGACTCCGAAAAGAATCGAATGTATAGAAGAGAATATGAGAACATCGGAGAGAATCAGAAAGAATCTGAATGAATCCGAGTGAATTCAAGAAATCCGAAAATATTTCGAGAGAATGCAATAGAATCTGAGAGAATGTGCAAAGAATGCAAGAGAATCAGAAAATATCCGAGATCCGAGAGAATTTAAAAGAATACGAAAAAAGCCCGAAAAAATATGAGAGAATGAGGGAGAATCTCGAAAGGTCTGAAATGATCCGAAAAGATCCGACAGAATTCAAAAGAATCACAGGAAAATCTATAGAATCTGAAAGAATCCGGAAGGGTCCATAAAAATCCAAAAGAGAAACCGGAAAAATCCGTGAAAATCAAGCAGAATCCCAAAGGATCAGAGAAAATCAGAGAGACACCAAGGAACAAAGGAAACACAAAGAATTGTAAGAATACGAAAAACGAAAATATCCTCAAAAACGAAAAAACTTCAAAAGATAGTTCGAAGAAATCCGAAGGAACTTGAAAACTAAATTATCTTATTTCAGCATCCTGGAGAATCCCAGAAAAACCGAAAAAATCCGCGAGATTCCGAGTGAATCTGACAGAATCCGGAAGAATACGAAAGACTCCGAAAAGAATCGAATGTATAGAAGAGAATATGAGAACATCGGAGAGAATCAGGAAGAATCCGAAAGAATCCGAATGAATTCAAGAAATCCGAAAATAATTCGAGAGAATGCAATAGAATCTGAGAGAATGTGCAAAGAATGCAAGAGAATCAGAAAATATCCGAAATCCGAGAAAATTCGAGAATAATTAAAAAAAAGTCCAACAGAATCTGAAAAAATACGCAAAGAATGCCAGAGAATCGGAAAATATTCGAGATCCGAGAGAATTTAAAAGAATACGAAAAGAGCCCGAAAAAATATGAGAGAATGAGGGAGAATCTCGAAAGGTCTGAAATGATCCGAAAAGATCCGACAGAATCCAAAAGAATCAGAGGAAAATCTATAGAATCTGAAAGAATCCATAAAAAATCAAGCAGAATCCCAAAGCATCAGAGAAAATCAGAGAGACACCAAGGAACTTAGGAAACCCAAGGAACAAAAGAAACACAAAGAATTGAAAGAACACGAAAAATGAAAAAATTCTCAAAAACGAAAAAACTTCGAAAGATAGTTGTTCGAAAAAAATCAAAGAAATCCGAACGAATTTGAAAACTAAATTATCTTATTTCAGCATCCTGGCGAATCCCAGAAAATCCGAAAAATCCGCGAGATTTCGAGTGAATCTGACAGAATCCGAAAAGTACGAGAAAATCCGAAAAGAATCGAATATATGTAAGAGATTATGAGAAAATTCGACCAAAAACTGAGAGCGTCAGAGAGAATTAGGACGAATCCAAAAGAGTTCGAGTGAACCCGCGGGAATCCGAAAATAATTGGAGAGAATCCTACAGGATATGAAAGAATACGCAAAGAATGCCAGAAAATCAGTAAAAAATTTGAGATCCGACCAGATTCCTTGGGATTGGAGAGATTCCAGAAGGATTCAAAAAAATCCGAGAGAATGAGAGAGAATCCCGAAAGATCTGAAACAATCCGAGAGAATAGGAGAAAATCCAACGGAATCCGAAAGAATACAAGAGACAATGAGAGAATCGCACCATTTTTCCGAAGGAATCCAAGAGAATCTAACTGCACCTAAAGAACAAATGGAATTCCAAAAACGCTAAGAATCAGAAAAATGTGTCAATAATCGGTTCGAAGATTATTTGTTTAATAAAAATTGAGACAGACGACAGTACAAAAATCAAGTTGAGTATTTCCTGGATATTTTACAGCCATAGAAGTGTACTCTAGATCTTTTTTGGAATCCAGTGTCCCCAGTGACCCTCTTTCTAAAGGTCATACATGGCAGCCATTCCAAAAGGTCCATCCACCCCTCTTCCTAGCATTAAAATCCTCCAAACTTTCATTCATAAACAGGTAATCATTCACCTGCATCATTCATGCTCTTCCCCTTATTCCCCGTTATTTTTAGTCGTCCCGGTCCCTTTATAGCCCTCCAAGAGCCTCCAGCCCCCTCCCCTGTTAATCCCCGACATGACATTTCATGTTCCACCAGGTGTAAAGAAAAACAAACACTCGCAATTAGGCGGAGCGTCACAACGCACATCTCCACAGGACAGCACCCCCACAATTCCGTGACGTCATCGAGCGTCGCGGCGCCTGCGCCGCAGTTTGTATTGATTCCATCCGTGTCCATGACTAAGGCGAAATACCCATTTGCTATCGGAACGGCATAAAATTTTTCCGTCGAGAGAACAACGCCACTTTACGTGATCTGAGGGTGCAGACCCGCCGCAGACACCCACCATGGTCGAAGAGGAACCCAAGATCAAGGCCATCGAAGGAGGTAAGAGCGGCTTTTGTGTAACGCAGTCTGATCGAGCGCTCTTCAGTCACTTCACCTACGATCATCGGGCTATGCTTGGGAGGAGCGGTCTTCGTCCTCTGCATGGCGGCCTTGACGTGCTTTTGCTACCGCCAGAGGAGGAACCACAACGCAAAGAGGCACGGACCGGATCAGCCCTTGGCCTTCCACACCCATCGGAGGCCCACAGCTGTGAAGAGCCCGGCTGGAACCACGACGCACTACTTGAAGAAGAGTCCGAGTCCGACGGGACCGTCGAAGACGCCACCGGGAGTAAGTGGGTCGGGATGGGAGAAGTTTGGGTTAATTGGTAGTTTTTCAAGATGTCGGCTCCGCACACTCCTAGTCCAACAGGTAGTTCTTCGGGGAGCATGGCGGGGCCGTTGGAGAGCGGGGTGTCGAATGGGAGCGACAAGGTGGAGCAGAGCACCACGATGAAGGACGTCTACACCACGGAGAACGAAGTGCACACGCCCACGAAGGAGGAGATGGAGACCAACGAGAAGAATCTACAGCAGAGTGCGTCGTATTTGGGGCAGCTGGTTTTCAAACTAAGGTGATCACTTGTTATCTAGATTCCTGTTGCTATTCAAAGCAAGTTGAGACAATTGTCGCTTCGGTGCTAAATCTTGATAAGTCTTCCTCTGTCTCTCTCTTGTTACAACGCCCTCTCTGAACTCCCACACATTAGTCAAAAAATTTATTCCAGGTACAAGCACGACAAGAACGCCCTCATCGTCTCGGTGGTCCGCTGCAGAGACCTCCCGGCCAAGGACCCCAACCTGGGTTCCAGCGACCCCTACGTCAAGCTGCAGCTCCTCCCAGACAAGCAACACAAAGTCAAAACTCGCGTCTTGAGAAAAACTCGCAATCCCGTCTACGACGAAGACTTCACCTTCTACGGAATCAACTTCAACCAGTTACCCAACATCACCCTCCACTTCGTGGTGCTCAGTTTCGACCGCTACAGCCGCGACGACATCATCGGTGAAGTCTTCTGCGCCCTCAACTCCGTCGATGTTACTCAGATCGAGAACCAGCAGATGGCTCTATGTAGGGAGATCCAGCCCAGGAGTCTTAAGGTCGGTGTTGTTGTTTAAAAAAGCGATTTTTGTTACAGTGGGGTTGGGTTTCAGATTCGTTCCCAAGGTCGCGGTGAACTCCTGGTGTCTTTGTGTTGGCAGCCGGCGGCTAACAGACTCACGGTGGTGGTACTCAAGGCCCGAAACCTCCCCAAGATGGACGTGACCGGGTTGGCGGATCCCTACGTGAAAATCTACCTTCTGTATAACGGCCAGCGGATCGCTAAGAAGAAGACCCACGTTAAAAAGCGGACACTGAGTCCAGTTTTTAACGAGAGCTTCGTGTTTGATATTCCCGCAGGAGGTGAAGGCCTTGATAACGTCAGTTTGGAATTTTTGCTCCTGGATTGGGATCGAGTGACCAAAAATGAGGTATGTTTTTTTTTATGTATAGTGGGATGGGGTGTAATTGGTGGACCGGTAGGTGATTGGGCGGCTCGAGATGGGCGGCGCTAAGTGCACCGGGACGGCGCTCCACCATTGGAAGGAAGTGTGCAACTCGGCCCGTAGACAGATAGCCGATTGGCACAAGCTTAGAGAATAAGGAGGAGCCGACTGACTGAAAACTGAGGGGTTTAGTTGTAACTATAGCGTACGGCTGGTCCGAAAGTCACGCTCTTCACAGCAGTACGATCGCTAAGCTTCTGGACCAGCCGCTATAAATATATTTGTGTACTCGTAAGCATTCACCGCAAAATCTGTTAGTATGCTTTGATGATTTTCCGCGTTAGGTTTTGTGTAAATATGGATTAATGTTTCAATTAGGCTTCGAGAACTGGTGGACCCAAATTACCTATTATAGTTGAGTTAGCGGTTTAAAGAGGAGCAAGGCAAAGGGCAGGGTCGCGCTTAACAAGACTAAATTTCGAGATTAGCTTTGTTAAAAAAAGGGTTTGTGATATAGATTTAAGCTGACTTATACAAAGTACCAAGAAATGTAATCTAAATGTATTATACTTGATTATGCACTTTAGGGCAAGTTGCACGCTACTTGCATTCTAGAATGTCCAGTTCCTAATTTTCGGTTCTAGAACCCTGAGGGGGACGTTTGGGCATTCCGTGGTGACGAAACGCGGTTTGGATTGGTTCAAATTTTCTCATACAGGTTACGATTATGGAAGATTTGACATACATTGAAAAGCTACTCGTAGCGGATTGTCACTGTTTTACGGAACGACCTCTGATATTGTTTGAAGATATTGTTTGTGTTGGAGATAATACATTTGCCGATTTTAACCCTTTACTCCTAAAATAGCGGTAGAATTGATGTTTCTTCTAGAATTTACAACGAATAAACGCACATTCTCAGTCAAATATAATACTCTTTAAGAAAATCCGCAAATGTATTTGGCGCACCTTACAGCGTAGATCTAGTCTAACAATAAGAATAATACTAATATGTAAATTTCTGCATAATGTACTTATGTAGGGTACTAGTCACGTAGGTTTAGTACTAAACTAATTTGCAATCTTTATCTGTATGCTAGTACACGATCTGTTGTTATTGTTGCTTTTTAACAGCAGTTAACGATTTCTCGTTTTCGAGGTGCATCTTTCTCTATAAGCAGTGCACATCTGTATATATGGATCACCTACTTTTTATTCCATTGATTTAAGTGTTTTCTTTCGGAATTTGCAAATTTTGCTTTCGACTGTCTACATTTTGAAAATCTTGTTTTTTGAAATTTATGAATGTATATAATTATTAAATAAATGTTTCAATGGTTTTTAACTATTCTTTTGGATTGAGAGGGCGTTCTGGACTATATTTTTACCTCCCAAGCGTAAACTAAGTAAGTATAGTCATCGAGTTACAATTTCTCGATGTTTCATGACCCCTAGAGGACGCTAGTACACGTAATCTCCGAAACTGCTGGACCGATTGTTCTCATCATGTAGATTGTTAAATGCCAACTAAAATTTTGCTAATCATCCCCACCAACAATTTGATGACTTCATTTCAAAGAATTCTATGTTTATTTTATTTAGCTGTTCTACACAAAGATATCCCTGTAAGTGTAGTGTATGAATCCGCTTTGAGATTTCCCTAATCGTCCAAATTTATTTATTAGATTTTTTATATTTGGTTATACACGATGACGATAATGAAACAAATTAATGAATCAGTCAATTTATTTTGTTCTTGTACTATCTTGCTATTAATTTTTACAAGATTAATAGGTATAAAGTCAGTCTAGCACTAGCAAGTACTAGCCCCGCCCACCCACCCTCTATTTTCTCATAGGATATAGTATTTGCCAAAATCAGTCTTATCTTACCAAGCATTAACCCACCCCACCCGCCCCCTATGTTTTCAGAGGATATGTCATTTGCCAAAATAACACTTATCTTAGCAAGTACTAGCACCCTCTGAGGAAATAGAGGGCGGATGGGTGGGGCTATTATTTGCTAATAGTCGTATTTTGGCAAATGAGATATCCTATGAGAAAATAAAGGGTAGGTGGGCGGGGCTAGTACTTGCTATGACAAGACTTATTTGGGCAAATGACATACGCTCTAAGAAAATAGAGGACGGGTGGGAGGGCCTAGTACTGGCTAAGATAAATTTGATTCCGCCTCTATTAATTTTGTAAAAACTTGTTAAATTTAAAAATTGTGAAACTGCAAATTTCCATTGTAACGAGTTAAATTCTTAAATCTATCAAATCTACACGAAATGAGTTTTTACTTGTGATTTATCATTCCAATCATATTTTTTAGATTTGGTTATACAGGTGGTTCCAAAAAATTAATTATGAGTTATTTTATTGATTAAGTCAGGAACGGCTCAGTCCATTTTCTCAGAAAATTTTGAGAATACAATTCTGTTATTTTTCAATTTACAATCTACACTAAATAAAATAAGTCAGTGAAATGGAGAAGAAGGTGGGCAAAGAGTAGCCCCGCCCACCCACCCCTTCTTCGTTCCAGTGACTACTCTTAATATTGTTCCGTGCTAACTTAGCAAGTTTTAGTCCCGCCCGCTCGCCCTTTTTTTCTCAAGAAGATATATCATTTAGTTCTACGGACCTAATAAAACATAGGCTGTTAAAAAAAAGCGTTAATCGTAATTTTTTTGTTATACTACTTATTTGCTATTACATTTATTTCTTATTTCTGAAGAAACAAAATTAGAGAACGGGTGGGTGGGCGGGGCTAAATTTGAATTTTTCAATTTTCAATTTTCCAATTTTTTAGATTTTTTATACTTCGATTTTTCAATTTTTCAACTTTTCGATATTTTAATTTTTCAATTTGCCGAATTTTTAAATTTTAAATTTTTCAATTTCATGACATTTCGATTTATCGAATTTTAACTTTTCGATTTTTCGTTTTGGCCTGCTTGAGTTTCTCAGTTTTTGAATTTGTCGATATTTCGACTTTTTGATTTGTCGGTTTTTGGATTTTTTAATTTTCGGCTTTTCGATTTTTAAATTATGCAATGTTTCAATTGTCCAATTTTTTTAATTTTGGAGTTTCGATGTCTCGATTTGTTGATTTTTAGTTTTTCGTGTTTTAAATTTTACATTTTCGAATTTTTGTTTTTTTACGATTTCTCGACTTTGCTGTGGAGATTTTTCGGTTTCTCAATTTTTCAATTTTTTAATTTCCAATTTTTAGATATTTCCTTGAATTTTGTGATTTTTCAGTTTTTCGATTCGTCAATTTTTCTCCTATTTTTCGATTTGTCGGTATTTGAGTTATGGGATGTTTTTGTATTTCGACTTTTCGATTTTTCGAGTTCAGAATTTTTCGGTTTTTCGACTTTTAACTTCTTGGATTCTCAATTTTTCGTTTTTTAGACTTGAGATTTCAGTTTTTCAACTTTACGATATTTAAACTTTTGAGTTTTTAAAATTTCAGATTTTTCGATTTCTAGAGTTTTCATTTCTTCTATATTTCAATTTTTCAATTGTTGGAATTTTAAAATTTTCGATTTTCCATTTTTTTAAATTTTTCAATTGTCCAATTTTTCGATGTTTCGATTTTTCGATTTTCAAATTTTAGATTTTCAATTTTTTTTAGTCTTTTATTAATTTTACCATCTTGTTTTTTCGATTTTAAAAACATTTCGACATTCAATTTTTTTTTAAGAGAACGGGTGGGTGGGCGGGGCTAAATTTAACTTTTTTATGCAGAATCTTCTATAAGCAAGCAATAGCCCCGCCCACCCATCCTCTCTTCATTCCATTGATTACTCTTAATATTTTCGGAATTTTTCAATTTTCAATTTTTAAATTTTTTGATTTTTCGGTTCTTCAGTTTTACAATTTTTCAATTTTTCAAATTTTGACGTTGCTAAATTTTCAGTTTTTCGATTTGTCAATTAATCTATTCGATTTTTCAGTTCTTCAATTGTTCCAATTTTTGACTTCGTTTTTTTGGTTTTTCGATTTCTCAATTTTACAATTTTTTAATTTCTCAATTTTTGTATATTTCTTACAGTTTTGGGATTTTTCAATATTTTGTTTCGACTTTTCGATTTTTAGACGCCTGGATTTTTTGATTTTTTATTTTTTGAATTTTCATTTTTCGTTTTTAAACTTTTTTTATATTTCTATTTCTCAATTTTTCAACTTTTCGATATTTTAATTTTTCAATTTGCCGAATTTTTAAATTTTAGATTTTTCAATTTTTTGACATCTCGATTTATCGAATTTTAACTTTTCGATTTTTCGTTTTGGCCTGTTTGAGTTTCTCAGTTTTTGAATTTTTCGATATATCGACTTTTGGATTTTTTAATTTTCGGCTTTTCGATTTTTCAATGTTTCGATTTTTGAATAATGCAATGTTTCAATTGTCCAATTTTTTTAAATTTGGAGTTTCGATGTCTCGATTTGTTGATTTTTTAGTTTTTCGTTTTTTAAATGTTACATTTTCGAATTTTTGTTTTTTTTAAGATTTCTTGACTTTGCTGTGGTGATTTTTCGATTTCTCAATTTTTCAAATATTTAATTTCCAATTTTTGGATATTTCCTTCGATTTTGTGATTTTTCAGTTTTTCAATTCGTCAATTTTTCTCGTATTTTTCGATTTTTCGGTATTTGAGTTATGGAATGTTTTTGTATTTCGACTTTTCGATTTTTCGAGTTCAGAATTTTTCGGTTTTTCGACTTTTAACTTCTTGGATTCTCAATTTTTCGTTTTTTAGAGTTGAGATTTCAGTTTTTCAACTTTTCGATATTTAAACTTCTGAGTTTTTAAAATTTCAGGTTTTTCGATTTCTCGACTTTTCAGTTCTTCTATATTTCAATTTTTCAATTGTGGGAATTTTTAAATTTTCGATTTTCCATTTTTTTTTTATTTTTCAATTGTCCAATTTTTCGATGTTTCGATTTTTCGATTTTCAAATTTTAGATTTTCAATTTTTTTTAGTCTTTTATTAATTTTACCATCTTGTTTTTTCGATTTTAAAAACATTTCGACATTCAATTTTTTTTTAAGAGAACGGGTGGGTGGGCGGGGCTAAATTTAACTTTTTTATGCAGAATCTTCTATAAGCAAGCAATAGCCCCGCCCACCCATCCTCTCTTCATTCCATTGATTACTCTTAATATTTTCGGAATTTTTCAATTTTCAATTTTTAAATTTTTTGATTTTTCGGTTCTTCAGTTTTACAATTTTTCAATTTTTCAAATTTTGACGTTGCTAAATTTTCAGTTTTTAGATTTGTCAATTAATCTATTCGATTTTTCAGTTCTTCAATTGTTCCAATTTTTGACTTCGTTTTTTTGGTTTTTCGATTTCTCAATTTTACAATTTTTTAATTTCTCAATTTTTGTATATTTCTTACAGTTTTGGGATTTTTCAATATTTTGTTTCGACTTTTCGATTTTTAGACGCCTGGATTTTTTGATTTTTTATTTTTTGAATTTTCATTTTTCGTTTTTAAACTTTTTTTATATTTCTATTTCTCAATTTTTCAACTTTTCGATATTTTAATTTTTCAATTTGCCGAATTTTTAAATTTTAGATTTTTCAATTTTTTGACATCTCGATTTATCGAATTTTAACTTTTCGATTTTTCGTTTTGGCCTGTTTGAGTTTCTCAGTTTTTGAATTTTTCGATATATCGACTTTTGGATTTTTTAATTTTCGGCTTTTCGATTTTTCAATGTTTCGATTTTTGAATAATGCAATGTTTCAATTGTCCAATTTTTTTAAATTTGGAGTTTCGATGTCTCGATTTGTTGATTTTTTAGTTTTTCGTTTTTTAAATGTTACATTTTCGAATTTTTGTTTTTTTTAAGATTTCTTGACTTTGCTGTGGTGATTTTTCGATTTCTCAATTTTTCAAATATTTAATTTCCAATTTTTGGATATTTCCTTCGATTTTGTGATTTTTCAGTTTTTCAATTCGTCAATTTTTCTCGTATTTTTCGATTTTTCGGTATTTGAGTTATGGAATGTTTTTGTATTTCGACTTTTCGATTTTTCGAGTTCAGAATTTTTCGGTTTTTCGACTTTTAACTTCTTGGATTCTCAATTTTTCGTTTTTTAGAGTTGAGATTTCAGTTTTTCAACTTTTCGATATTTAAACTTCTGAGTTTTTAAAATTTCAGGTTTTTCGATTTCTCGACTTTTCAGTTCTTCTATATTTCAATTTTTCAATTGTGGGAATTTTTAAATTTTCGATTTTCCATTTTTTTTTTATTTTTCAATTGTCCAATTTTTCGATGTTTCGATTTTTCGATTTTCAAATTTTAGATTTTC